ATCCATCCATCCATCCATCCATCCATCCATCCATCCATCCATCCATCCATCCATCCATTTATTCATTCCAAAACTTTATAAAATGATCTTGTTTAACTTTGTTCTTCTAAGAAAATGAGTCATGGCAACAAAGACTGCAGCAGGTACAAAAAAAGAAAGATTTGAAATTACTAAAAGCTTGTCGCAGGTGAACAAAAACAAACTAGATTGTTGTCAAATAATTGGCAAGGTGAAAATGAAAACACAACACACATTCCCTAAAGAAGCATACAAATGAAAAATTAAATATAAAAAAACAATATTACACTTTTCAAAACTGAACAAATAATCCTTGATACCTCATATTTTCTGAAAACACACAAAACCTTCAGAGAAAGTGACACTGCTTTAAAGTGACTATAAAGTTACACCAATGACAAAGCTGTTGACATCCTTCTTTAACCAACACGTCGTGTGCTCCTACCTCTGGTCTGACAGGATCTTCTATTCCCACAACACAGATAGCAGTAAGGTCAGTGAGGATGTTGTTCTCATCATCCCAATTGGGCTCAGGATCCCTGGGAAAGTCACGATATGCCACACAGATGGTTCTTAGACCATCACATGCCATTGGCTCAATCACCTTTTTAACCATCTCATCCTTGTCTCGTGGACGGAAAACTCTTGGTTCACCAACTTCATTCAGAATGTGGTTGCATCTGTGAAATACAACACAAAAAATGGAAATTGTTGCAAAATTCTTAACCATAATATGTGATTTTATTACAATGCATTGAAATAAATTACAAAATACATCTTGATATTGCTGCAGGAAATCTTCAATCTGTTGCTGCAACTTTGTGAATTAGAAAAGACTCAACAAGCTTTTCACTTTGATTTAACTTATTCACAACAAAATATTCACATGTCTTGTAACATAGGTAAAAACGTTGTGTAACCACTTGGTCTTTCTTTGTGGCATTCGTGTTTTATTGCAGTTTTTAACAATGCAAAGCAAAATACAAGTGTGACTTTAAGTGAAAACTCTGCATAATAAGCAAAAATGTCTCTAAAATATGTTTAGTTTACAAAAATATATTTGTTATGCACTTGGTAAATTTAATATACCACACTTTAACAACAAAACTTCTAACATATCAGTCTAATCAACAATAATTAGGAAAACTGGACTCACTTTTTGAGAACAATCTCAGAAGCTCCCTTACTGTACATCCGGAAGCTCCCATCATGAAGTTTAATGACAGTGCTCATAGACTTCCTGACTGAGTTAAAAGTGTAGACCTTGTAAAGCTTCTCTTCGGGGATCTGGTTTCTTATAGGCTGGTAATCTCGCTTCAGGTCCAGGACCAGTCCCAGCAGACCACACTCTGTTTTGTTTCCAACCTGCTTTGGCAGACCACCTTCCTTATCTGGGGGCTGAATAAGAGGCAGAGGAAAATAAATAAAAAATGAATAACATTGTTGGTCGTTTTAATGTTGTTTGTTCTCTCTCTCTAAACTGCCATATTCTAAGAACAAACAGTATATAAACTGTTTAGTCTGTTCATGGAATGAGGTTCTCTTTTCTTCAGTACAATATCTGCAGTCTAACACTTGAAATAGCTGCTGGTGATAATTAAGCAGCAAGCAGGTGAATGGGTTACTGTGTGTGGGAGGCCGGGAGATGAGCTAGAATCAAATCTGGATGTTTTTATTTCAGGCATACGGCTCAATCCTTCAAAATCTGTAATTGTATGTTCAGAACAATGTAACTATCTTGTTCAGTAAACATTTCAGCTGAGTATAAACTACAGGAGGCAGAAAATTATGTACCGTTTTTACACAACATATGACATCTTTTCTGATAGAGCTATAACCAGGGATTTTAGTAGAGCAGCTTGTCCTTTTTAATTTAAGAAATCAGATGCTCATTTTTTGATCAAGAGCCGAAGCTCTAAGAGATGGAATGTAATTAGATTCTGTCTTTTATGGAAGTGTGTTTGTTTGATTTATGATTTAGCATCTGTCTAAAACTGTGCATGTGGCTGCTCAGGTGATATAGCACATGTGTGCAATCGTGTGCTTACTGTATGTACAAGTGTGTGACTGTGGTCAGCTTGTGAAAGGCTCAGTGTTGCTATGGTAACACTGGGCATTGCACTCTTGAAAGACGAGAATTGGGAAACGAGAGGGTGAGCTTTTCACCACTTGGGGATTCTTACTCACTGGCTCTGTTTCTCTTACAAGATTCTCACTCATCTCACTTCACACATGTCCTCAATTTTTAGGTTTTCCTTTTATTTTTTCCCAAGGATTCTTTTTTTTTTTCTGTGCTTGGCTATTTAGAAACAATTTAGCTTGAATTCTACAAAATATAAAGCATGCAAAAAATGCTACTTGCCACTGTGATGGAAAATTCTAAATAATGCTGACCTCTCACTCATGCACTGATGCTCATATGCTCGGACACATAAGACACAGTCAGCATGCAGTCTTGGCTGTCATTCTTTATGACACGCTTCTTCACACAATTACACAATCTCAAGATGATTTTTATCATTTCAATCAGCACTCCTCAAATAAATCAACTGGTTGCTTAGATAATAATGTTTACTCAAAATTTGGACAACATGAAATGAACTGACAGAAAAACGAAGAGCTACTTGTTAGAATTGATAAATGTCGGTAATCAGAATCCTGACATGCAATCTGAAATTACTGAAAGTGACTTAAAAAAAATGTATATTTTCTTGTTTTAAAAACTAGCCCACAGCAGATCTGTCCTGGAACATTGCTATTTTTGGTTATTCTAATTGTGGTTTCTTCAGCTTCATTGATAGGTTGTATTAGGGGAGATGTTTGCGTTATCGAACATACTTTCAAAGAGGGTAATGTAAAATTAATAAAGCTTTTTGAGGTAAAATGGTTCTTCCTGTTATCTGGCTATACAAATTCTGATTTTATTTATTTCTGAGCTGAGATAAACATGTCCTCAAAACTTGGAATTATTTGTTGTGCATGTTCATTTTAAAATCTCAGTATTATGACACAATTATTACACTATTAATTTAACATAAATATGTTTTGCTTATTACTGTCTCAGACATACATTCTTCCTTCTGCTGCAAAAGCTAAGACAGGGTGCACAATTATAGGGTTAAAAAGTCATGCAAGATTATGCAAGACAATAAAACCCAAAGGCAGTGCTGGTTTTTCTTCATCCAGTAATGGGGAATCTCTGGTTATTGTCCAGTTGTGTGTCTCACACAGAAAAGAGTACAAATATTTAATACGGAGTTTGTCTTAAATAACAGAATTAATGCCTTTTCCTAATGACCATGATTACATCAGGAAGACACTGCCTGTCATTGGCTAATGACAGGATTAGATAAATGGCCTCATCTGCACTGTCTGGTGGTGTTAGGGTGAATAAACTACCAGCCAGAGGACAACAATAAGTTAAATCACTAAAATGCAAATGACCACACACAATATCTTGCAGCTTTTGTAGATAAATATATCTGGTATAAAGCAGAATAATAATGACCATTATTAAAAATAGTAATAATTGTGTTTAAATTCAGTGAAAAGCTTATGGTTGTAATTAATCAATTACACTTTAAATGCTGTTTTCTTGGAGTACTACTTTTAGAAACCCTGGGATACACTGTTTATTAAATAAATTAACAGCCACCTAAAATTCCTCTTCTGGGTAAGAGAAATTTAGGAACTTGACAACTGCCTTGGTCAATAAAAAAAATAAATTGATAAAAAGATCTTTAAATAAAGGTCATAAGCCGGAACAGGAACACAAACACTGCTTTCTTTGAGGTTTATCTTAACATGGCTTTTTACGTTCAAGAGCAGAAGCTGGTATGAAATGCCCAATATTGGCATGACTGAGCTCCTGCTGGCACGCCCTGGCCTGGATGTGGATTAGGACCAGCTGCCCTCTCCCTGGTCCTTGGGTGTTGCTGCAGGCAAGGACATATGCCAGAGGGAGAGCTGGCAACATTACTTCCTATTCCACCTGGGGCTTTTCTTAATCCATACCTCCTGTTCCTTGTTTCTCGCTTTCTTAGTCATCTTCTTACTTTTCCTTCTATATTCACATCTCACCAGCCATTCATTGCTTTATTTGATTCTCAGGTCACATTTTTCTCCTGTTTGGCCACGTTTGTCTTGTATGACTCTCTTCTTCATTAACAATTTTCCTGGTTCAAGAAGCTTCACCAGCTGCAATCCTATTCTTTTTTTGGACTCACATTCTATGAAGGGGTAAAATATATTCTAGGTCTCCACATGACTGTAACCACTAGTCAGGCTAAGGCCTTGGAGGCATGCTGTAGGGCAGTAATACAGTGCTCTAGAGTCACTCACAAAAGCAATTGCCACTTGACTGGTTTTCCCTGCGTCTTCTATTTACTTCCATCCTTTTTTTCCCTTTAACTCTAGCTTGTTGTCCCACTGCTTTCACAGTTACCTCCCAATATAAACAGAGGTAGACATAAGAAAGTATTTCAGGTTGTCCAGTGAACAACCTCTTCACAGAGACTGATTGTCCACCAAAATTTTGGGTTGTCTGCAACCTTTACAATAATGAAGGCAACAATCTCAAGAAAAATGTAATTTGATAAGTATACTGCACTACATACAAAGTTTACTATATACAACTGTTCTCAGTCAGCCATCTTGTGGACTGCTTGGAATTTTCAAGCTACTGATTAGCAGACTCTTTCAGGAGCTGCTCAAGTGGAACTTCCTTGTTCTCCTCCTCATCCTCTTCCTTGTCATCACTTTGCAAGAGAGGTTCTCGCAGCATATTTGAGGCAGAGATTAAAAAGCTTTTGACTCTTTCTGCACCTATGGGTTACCCAAGCACCCCCCCCACCCACCCACCCACAAGAACTTTTTTTTTAAACTGAGGTGTTCTCTGATATATTTAAAAAAAAGCACAGAAAGTGCTTTGCAGAGCAGAAATCAACTTAAAAAAACATATTTTTAAATTAGCCAGACTGACGGATTTCTCCACTAAAATGGTCATTTCATTCAAAAGGATTATATTTACAGGATTTCAGTTTGGCAGCATGGTGTTGCAACTGGTAGAGCTGCTGCCTCTCAGCGAGCAGGTCCCCGGTTCAAATCCCCGTCCGGGGGCCTTTCTGGGTGGAGTTTGCATGTTCTCTCCGTGCATGCGTGGGTTTTCTCCGGGTACTCCAGTTTCCTCCCGCAGACTAAAACATGCATGTTAGGCTGATTGGTAACTCTAAATTGTCCCTAGGTGTGAGTGAGAGAGTGAATGGTTGTTTGTCTCGTTTGTCTCTATGTGGCCCTGTGATGGACTTGCGACCCATCCAGGATGTATCCCGCACCTCGCACAGTGATTGCTGGACATGGGCACCGGCGACCCCCGTGACCCAAAAATGAAAGAAGCGGGTAAAAGATAATGGATGGATGGATTTCAGCTCATGTAGAAATTTAATACTTTTTATTTTTCATATTTGTTCATTTATTAAATTGCAGTGATCACAGTTACCTCTCAGTATGGTACTAAATATAAAGTTTAGAACATCCTAACTAGGGATGCACGGATCCACTTTTTTTTCACTTCTGATCCGATACCGATATCTGCTGTTTGGTATCGGCCTATACCGTTCCGATACCGATCTGATAAAGAAAAGCTGTGCTGAATTAACAAAAATGACTAAATCATGTCATCTGGACCCGTTTCCGAAACAGGTCCAGATGACGTGATTTTGCTATTTTTGTTGTCTACCTGGATGTTTGAGCTTACAAACCCAGTGCTGAATTAACTTAAAACATTTGTTTTGTTAAACGCAGACATGACTGTACTGAATTACAAATTTATTGAAAACTCTGCACCATAACAGCACATTTAAACACACCAAGAGCTTCACAAGCTCAGTCAAACATGTAAAAACAACACAACTTTAATTTGTTCAGTCAGTACGCTAGCGCGTGATGTCTCTCATAGCGCAAAGCATAGAATTAGAGTGAATAGATCTGCCCAGTCATGGATCGGTCACATTGTCACGATACCCGATCCAGAAGATTTTTTCCAATATCGGTACCAATACCTATATTGGTATTGGATCGGTGCATCTCTAATCCTAACAGTCACAACACCTTATTTTTGCTAAAACACCGTGTAGAATTTAAGTTTGGAGATATTTATGATAAACTACAAACACCTGAAACTACCTCTCATGCTGAAAGAAATGGAGACACATCTTTGTTTGAATCTGGGGCATATAAATATTTGTCTTTTAGTGTTGATATTGTTTAATTATAAGAACTCCATTGACAGAACTTCATTGTGACGACAGAGAACTTTATTCCATGTTTCTTGCAATTGGTTGTCCACTGGACAACCTCGAGGCAAAATCTGGTTGTCTGAGACAAAAATAGGTTGTATC